ACGATGCCACGTGCGGCCAAACCACGTGATTCCGTCAAACCCAAGGTCGACGAAGAACAGAAGTGGGGGTCACGTGGTTGTAGTGAAACCTTTTCTTAACCATGGGAAATTATCAGAACAGCATGCAAGAGTGTATCAGCGATTGCTCTCTGATGTGACGCCATTTACAGAAACGCACTAATCGGTCTGCAGGAAATGAGCACGAAGCGGCCCACCAATCCCAAGGTATGCCTGTATATCGGTTCTCTGTCTTGGAGGAAGCAATAATTATCATGCTTTTGTGATTAGCCTAACCTCAGTTAATTCAGAAAGGCGGTGCACTGGCACTGCAAATAGAAGAGAGGCAATTACTAAGTGCGTTGAGATGTGAAGCAGAACTGTGGCGAGGTGTGTGAGACGGCAATAGGTCTTTGGACTGCCGGTTAATCATACATCATGGTAGCAGAAATTCACAATTCTAAGCACTGATATTCTACGTAATCTCTAGTCCCATCGCTTAGAGAGGTCACTCAAAATCAAAATAGGCAACACTTAATAAATGTACTCTAAACTACTCATTCTTATCTCGGAAACCGATTTTAAAGTATATTGAGCTTCTCAGAGTTCGAAAACTATCAGCTATCTTCATCGTTTAAGGTCACAGTAATTAGATTGGCTACAAAGCCCACGACTAAAAAGTAGAAATAATCCTACGTAAAAGCGGATTTCACAAAAATATGGAAAATAGGTAAAAAAGAAGGTTTGGCTTAGTATTTGATTGAGTGAGAAAACAAAAGGAATGAATTGGAAGCAGGGCAGGAGAGGGGCGAGAAGAACAAAGAAGAGGATAGAGAGGTCATTTCAGGGTCACATCCTTCGCTGTCTCGGGGAGTCGTCCTCATGTGCACCTTAATCCGAGATATTCCCCTTCGATTCAAGGCCACTTCCGGAGGAAGCATGCTTCATATTCAATTCCTGTTTCCTCGTAATAAACTGGGCAGGCTCATCCGAGGAGCTGGACTTTTTCTGCGCACTAGTTCCGTCGGACCGCATTTTCACATAACACTTCCCTCCTTTTTTTTCACCGCCCTTCGTCTTCGAGTGCTCTTTGGGCAACGGTTCTCCAGATCCTGCTTCCCCCAGCTCCTCTTTCTTCTTCTTTGACTCATCCACACCATTCCTATTTTTTCGTTCGCGATTGTGCTTACTCACAACCTCTGTTGACGAATCTGTTGTGGAGGTTTCAGTGCTTGTCGAGTTCTCGGAAGAAGTTGTTTTCTCGGATTCATCACTACTTTCGTCCTCTTTCTCTTCCCCCTTTTCCTTTGGTTGTGATGGCGTGCCTTCACGTCGTGGCAACTCTGTGCCAGATTCTAACGCCACTGGGCGCTCATGCCCGACGAAAGTGCCACTCGATGGCAAAGGTGAGGTTGGGGTCGGTGGTAGTAGTGACGATGTTTTTGATCCTCTCTTCTCCGTGTTTGTTTTTGATTCACTAATAGCACGACGATACTCGCTGTTGTCGAAGGTAGTCACCGGATTGAGAGTTAATGAGTAGTGTTGTTGATACGACACACCTTCGACAGAGCCGGACTGCTTGTTGGTGACTGAAGGGTTTCTGGTTTCGTTTACAGATGCCTGGGGACTATAATTCGGTGCATTAGATGTTGGTGGCTGTGGCGGAAGCCTTGACCTCAGTGATACCTCTGGAAGACTAAAACAACACAAACAAGATGATTGGAAATTTGTCTGTCGATCCGTATCACACTTCCTTCAAGAGTAATTTGAGGACTGCGATCCACCCGCCAATCAAGAGGCTTACAGAGTTCGAGAGCTAAATTATTGCGGCCCCCGAGTTTAAATTAACGCCAAGCTTTCACACAACTAAATTAATTTAACTTGGTCAAATTAGTGCAAAACTTTGTTTGCAGTTCTGTTTGATTGCAGTATCCAATTATGCACATTACCATTCGTGAAGTCACGTCACAAATATGTGACACCTATTGATAATCATCTTATGATAGCTAATTCAACCGAATCTTGTCTAAAACAGATTGATTGAGTTTAAAACATAACTGAAGATGCAGAATTCTCTCGGATTAAGGATATACTTATGCTTTTTTAGTTCTTGAGGAGCTGAATTTGTGGAAAAAAAAGGCTGTTAAAGGCAACTCGTGATCAGGTCATTGAAAAACACCTTGACCGTGGTACATGCATGCATGCACCAACCTACGCATCCGGCGAAACCTTTTCACTCACTCATCCATCCCCCAAAATTGCACCCATTCAACCATGAATGTGCTTTAAACCTTACCAAACATTTAACCAACTCGAATACATCCATGAATAGCTCATTCTTGTAATCACCATTGGTAGGTCGTATTTCGCATTTCCTTCTATTCGTTGACACCAGGGCAACCATATCCCCATTCATTCGTCTATCCATCCTAATCTTCATCCATCCGTCCACACCACTATCCATTCAAGAATCTATCTTTTAAATTTACAGTGCATTCATTTTCTATCTGTCCGCTCGTCACAAAATAGCCAGTCTCCGATGCATTCATTCGCTTATTCATTCATTCCTTGTTTCATCCATCTATTCCAACTTATCTCAATAAAGGATTGGCCATTTTTATCATAAGAAAACCCATTGTGAAATGCTCCAGCGAACTTCCTCAACACACAGATAGATGTTCCATCAGTGTGTTTGGGGTGCAGGGTTTCCTTCCCACTGCAAGCATCACAGACTCATGGAAAACCTGCTGACTTGACAATTATGCCGAGCTCGAGGCATAACACTTGCTTAAAAGCGCATCTGAGGCTATACAAGGAGATTTCTACCCACACCCCTACCAATCCATTAAGATATCGCCCAGTTCTAAACATTGGTGGTGAGGGGACAGTCGCGGTGACTCACAAATAAGGGAAGGAAAGGGGAATAACGCTGCTTCTGGTCGCCAAATTTCCACATCAGCACGTGTGCAAGCTACAGGTTGTGCGATTTCTCTTTGTGTTTTGC